AGAATTTGGAGCGAAGGATCGGTGCAGGGACATATGTGGTGGTGATGTCGAGCAGATACACAACGGATGTAGCGAGGTCCTTGTTGACAATGCCTTGGGTAGCGGAGATCGACTGGCCAAGAAGCGCCAACAGCGCGGCGAAATAAGCTGTGGCAGAGAAATCGGCTTTCTGATCGCGGAGTGTGTCTTCAACTGCAGAGAGCACGACAGCCGTCTAGGAAGAATGGTCGTCCTGGTCAATAACGTTGTGTCGCGAGGAAGATTGGAGTAATTCCAGATCTTGAAGCCGAAGAGATGAGAATTTGACGGGGGGACTTACATGTTGCTGGTTCTGCAGCTTGGGAGACTTGATCTTCTCCAGCTTCTCCGCCAGGGTCGCCATGATGAAACGATCGACCGACAGGCAGTTGAGAAGACGGTCAGAGGATCTGGGATGGATTGGGAGGAGGGGGAGGGTTGAAAGAAGTCGGTGGATGCGGAGATTTTTTTTGTGGTCCGGCGGCGGGATCTTTTGGAATGGTGAAAAAAAGGTACGGGCGGTTCTTGGCGCCGTTTATCGATAGAGCGCGATAACAGATTCGCAGCGGAGAAGAAAGAGACTGGATCACCACTGTGGTGGATTTCTCATCGCTGTCTACTAGGTATCATATCCTATTGTCGGTTCATTTGTGATCAATTGGCGCGAATCCAGTCTTAGCCTACATGAGCAATATTCTTAGCCAGCGCCCCATTCCTTCTTTACACTTTGGGCAACTGAATGTAAAATGTCGGAAAGAGCAAAGAAAACCAGAATAGATAGAAGTTCTAATAAGACATGAAAATCGTCATAACATGACCATCATCCACACTAGCTGACCGGAACATCAGAGACGATAGCCTGTGCTCTCGTTCAGTCTTCACCACACACACACACACACACACGCACATATGGTTCACCTTTCAGCCAATTATCCGCGAACCCAGCTCATCTCTCGCTCCCATGGAGAGATCGACGAGCCCTCACAGCCATTGGGAGAGTCGTCCGCCAGCCCTACACCTTCTACACAGCTATTCAAAATCGCCGCCCGGGCAAGGGATCAGCGGCAAGCGACCTGTCTCCCTGCAAACGGTCCCTGGAGGGCAGCTGGGGAATGCAACAGGCCATAAGCCAACCGGCACCCAAGCTCCCATATCCCGCCCCTCGGAATCCAACCTGATGTTTTGCTCTCATCTCTGTGGCAAACAGCGTGGCCGACGCAAGCCGCCGTGCAACGGAATGCGATGGAAATGGTGGGGTTCAGGGCAGTCTCTAGAATAAGATCTCCCCGCTGTGTTCTGGCTCGAATCCCAAGGTCTGTAACTTGCCGTGCCGCTTCTTGTCGTTGGATTTGCGCTTGATCTCCTCTTGCTTCTTCAATTCGAACACTTCCTGGAACGACGCTCGTTGGAGGTGAGGGGGCACATCGTCTTCTTTGTCGAGGTCCTGCGACGATAGAATCTCGGGTTAGTCGCAAGCTCGTACACAAGATACAAAATATCAACCAGTCTAGTCATCCCCGAGCAAGTAGAGAGGAAGGCGTACAATCTCTCCGAGAAGCAATACGTTCTCGCCACGGACAAGGAAGATCCCGCGCGGGATGTCGGCGTACAGATTCCCCGAGTAGAGGCGTTCGATGGTATCTTGGAGAACGAGGTTGGCTGCATAAGAGAGGCAATGAGATTGTCGTTCCCAAATCGCAAAGCAAGCAGAAGGCTCTCCAGAGAGTTGCCTGTGCTTTGCTCCAAAATGTGTGCGTGTGAAGGCATACCGAACTGATCCCAACTTCTCAGGACGCCAATCAACTTCCTTCCGTCACGCAAGACCAAAACAAGCTTCTCTGGCGTAAGTGTCAGCTTTCGTCCACCAAGATCCAAGCAGTTTCCCCCTTAGCGGCGAGAGCCCGAGTCGCAGGTGGAAACAACGTACTGTCGGTCAAATCCAATAATTGAGCCGCTGTGGTGAACATCTGCGGCGGCAGCTGCGGGGGACCATGCGTCATGGGTCCGAGGGTATTGTTGTTCTGGGGCGGGAATCCCTGCGGCGCATTGCCCTGGGGGCCACCGGCGGGGGGTTCGTTGATCGAGAGGCGTTCCATTGTCTTTTTCTGGATCTTCACACCGAGATGATGTGAGGGGAAAGTATTGGTGGGTGGGAATTGGGGTGGGAGATTAATCAGGGCCGTGTCAATTGCGGGGGTTCGCTCAACTTCGGAGATGCGGGCGCAATGTAAATGGTCAATTCTATTTGCACAGACTCAGTAAGAAACGGCTATGAAGCTCTCATTCTGCGCTAGGAAGCAATCTCCAGCGCTGGGGCTTTTGAGGTGGGATGGAGAGCATACAGCACTGCATCGGCGAAGTTGTTGGTGCGAACGGAAGGAGGTGTTTGCTCTGTTTGTTCGGTGCAGTCGTCATTCTATTATGTGGAGTCTATCAAGACATGGTCGCTCGAATGTGAAGCTCAAAGATGGAGCTCACGCTAGTATATATACTCTGAAGAGCAAAGTTTATTTCTGGGCTCTATACTCATATACGTTTACTCCACGTACTATATGTGGCGAGCCGTGACGTTGCAGGCTCTCCACGCTTGCATGCGATACACGCTACATGATTGATCCTCGTGTCAAACACCGCTACGAACGACCGGAATATACTTCTGCTGATGAAAAACTCAATCTGTTTCAGCTGACAGCATGATAAATAGCCCGTCCTGAGAACAAAACTCGGCGTGACCGAAGACCACAGTACGCTGAAGACAAGACATGAGAGAACAGCTAAGAGAAACATCTACAAAAGCGCTCAAGGCAAGGCAGGGACCATTAAGCCTAGACAGGAACACCGAGTGCGAGGATATGAGAAAAGCTCGCCGGTCGCCTCATCAACCCACTCGACACACCTAATAGAATTCAAACCACACTCACCCCTCGCCGCTGTCCGCGCATCCGCTCTTCTCGGCGCCGACTGTACGGCGCGCAGTACGGCTCGTCGGACGAGCCGATATTTGCCCGGACCGATTCGTGCGACTGGTGGTACGCTGGACTCGACGGCGAAGGGGGCAATTGAATCGCCTTGAACTGGTCCACGCTGATGATCCGCAGCCCATAGAGGTACTGCATCAGCTCGAAGTCGGGCCGGCTGCCGGCGAGGGACTGGCCTTGTTGGTAGTGGGCCGCATCCACGTGGGCGAGCATAGCGTCCCAGGCGCCCAGATCGGCCGCGTCGTGAAATCTTGCCCCCTCTCCGGTGCACAAGGGGCAGCGAGCCGTCTTGGGCGGCGCATGGGTCCGGAAATGGCTCAGGACGTGAGTTCGCCAGTCGTGCGCATTGTCGAATGCGATGTGGCAGTCGAGGATGTGGAACAGGCAGAGGTAGGAATAGTGACGATCGTGACTATCATGGCGAGCCAGGACGATGAGAGCCCCCGTTCCATCATCTACCAAGAGCGCATGGCCTGCAAGATTGGATGCCCACCGCGTGTCAAGGGACATGTCGGATGAGGATGCTGAGTGGGATGCGGTGTCGTTCAACAGGGACGGCACAGCCGACATGGTGTCCCAGTGTACGTCTCTTTCGTACGTCTGACTGCGATCTTCTGTGATGAACCTATACGCGGTGCACCGAAGCTCGAATTAGAAGAAGAGTATATGGGTGGTCTGGCCGATAGGAAGCTCTTGGGCGGCCACCGAGGTGCGTTGGAAGCGCTCCCGAACGGAACGCTGGGGTTACGCTATCCTATTCTGCGAGCAGAGGGTGACAAGCAGTCTTGTTCTCGCCACATATTTATTAGCCTGGAGGTTGTGAAAAGAAAGCAAAGAGCTTGCAGTTTATTCGGTATGGGAGGGGGAGTGGGTTCGGTCATATAGTTGGCCGCCGCGCGGTCGCCCAAGGCGGGGTTACAAACAGAGTGAAGCGCCCACATTCAGGCTGGGAAGGAAAAGAAGGGAGAAGGAAGACCGCATTCATCTTTGGGCTTACCTTGAACACCGTAACAATTCCAAACTCCCGGTTACATCAACACCGACATTTTTTGTTGTAGTAGCCGCGGGAAATTGTCGCATGGTTAGACCTTCTAGTTAGGTGCTTCGGTCTTTGTTCGGCAGGAAAAGCGGGGAGGGGAAGGCATAAGTCAGTCAGTCCTCCGGGATTTAATTGTAAGTAGTTCAGGGAGTAAATAGAGTATGTATTTACTTAGTCGACGGCAAACAAGTCAATGGGTACAGTACATTAATTGTCAAGGTCTACTTGTAGTCAGGGAAGTACTGTACACTAGAGTACCTCCTCCTTCCTAGGGCCAAGTCACCCGGGCCCTGGGTAAGGTGGGTGCAGTGAGTGTGCTACATGAACCCGATGACACAAACATGCATTTTGCTTATTTAGTCTTGGTCATGGGAGCAGTGGGCTCCGGTGCATTTTCCTAGGATCCTGGTGAAGAAAGCTGGGATGTCTTTGGCAAGGGAGAAAATATGAATTGCATCGGCAGCAGCAGCAGCAGCAGCATCATAATGATCTTTAGATGGCTCGGGCTTGAGAAGCGGCTTCTCTGGCCGACACTCTATTAGACAAGAGGTTTGTTGTTTGTACACCTTACGATTATAAACATACTTTCATTAAGCCTTTTAGGGTATAGCTGGGACTCCACTGTATTAAGCCCGGACTGGAGGGCATAAATGCTTCCATATCTGAAAATCAATATAGGTCTTTGAGTTTACTATACTACTTATGTTACCCTCACCACCTCCACTGCACTTACCATTATATAGGCGTTGAAATTGTTACTTCGTAATTGTTCAGCGAAATGCAGTGCAGTTTGAAAAGCAGCAGCAGGTGGATGAGATCAGTGACGACGGCATGCTGCCGTGTATCACGCCGCGAGTTCCGCAGGCAGAACTTCCCGAAAGTGATTGCGTTTCCTCATGAGCAGAGCCTTGAATGAAAATCCGGAGTGATTGGATGACGGTAACGAAAGTAACTACTAGTATGAAATGAGCCGAGGAAAGCTACCACAAACCGGCAGTCACCATACCATACCATACTTCATGAAAGTGACCAGTCATCCACATTCGTCTTGCAGACTTCGCCCTCCCAACAAAGGGCAGTCCCGAGAGTTAGCACTCACCTCCCAAGCATCCAAGAATTTAGTAGCCATTCAATCTTCGATAGGAGTCCTCAGTGTCGACCCAGACTTCGACAAAGGTTTTAGTGACTATTCTGGCTGGCTAATTGGTTGGCTGTTCGATTGTCGGCATTCCTGTATACAAACTTGGTTGCATTAGTACACTTCCACGTCACCCGTGTCTTCAGCATCGAAGAAGTCATGCTGGGCATCCAGCGACCTCACATCAAAGCTCGCATACTACCCAGGCTTACTGTGAGCTTCACAAAAGATTGTCATTTATCCCAGCAGGTCCGATCGACACGTAATCGGCCGATTGATGCAAGTAGTAGTCACTACTTTAATTACACCCCTGGTCGGTGGCTTATTAATGAGGCGCACCAACTCCAAACGCGCCATGTCAACTTCAACGTGCCAGCGCTGCAGCGGATTGCCGGTCAACTAATGGGAAGCCGATGTGTTCAAATGGATAAGATGCCCGAGGTGGCTTTTTAACAAGGTATTTTTTTTTTGCAGATGGAGAATGGGAATGAGATTTTGGCGAGTATCCCGAACCCGAACGCCGGCCATGCTCATCTTGTTGTGGCCAGTGAAGTCGCCACAGTTGACTTTGTACGTTGGTGCCCCAATTTCCGGTCCCTTGTCGCCGCAGTATTTTTCTGATATGCAAGAAACCACATTAAAAGCTCCGAACTGTTCTTAAGATACCAGTCCCTCGTGTTATCTCGTGGAGCTCTTCCCCGGAGGTGAACCCCGTCGGTGCTGAATATATCCTAATGGAGAGGGTGGAAGGCCAGCAACTAAGCTATGTTTGGGATGATATATCTGAAGCTCAACGCTTCGGGCTTGTAAAGAGCTTAGTGGGGATCGAACGGAAGTTGGTGAACGCAAAATTTGCCTTGCATGGCAGCCTGTACTACCGAGATACATTTCTACGGGGAAGAGGCATTGCTGCCCTGGAAACAGCAGACCAAGAGGGCCTATCTAAATTCGTTTTGGGTCCGACCACGCAGCGGTTCTTCTGGGGAGACGAGGAGCGCGGATTGGAGATGGACAAGGGTCCGTGTGAGTGTTAATCGTTGTCAATCTCTATCCCAAGGAAATTGAGTACTGAAACTGGGGAAATCAGGGGAAATGGCCCAGGAGTATTTCGCCGCTATCGCAAAGCAGGAGATATCACGCATACGAACCGCACACGGCAGATCCAGCAGTGTCACTGCACCTGTGGGCAACACGCGACGGAGGCGTGATGCTCACATCCAGCTCCTTGAGCAATTTCTAACGGTGCTGCCTTACATCCTACCACGCGAAGAGATCCTCGCGCCGGTCCTTTTGCACTCGGACCTCCATCACCATAATATCTTCGTCGATCCGTCCGATCCCACTAGAATCTCCAGCATAATCGACTGGCAAACCGCCCACGCCTCCCCGTTGTTCATGCAAGCGAGGTTCCCTTCGATCTTCAACTGCGACGACATATACCCATAGAGAGCGGTCCAACCCAAGCTATCCGAGGATTTCGAAACTCTTTCGGCGGCCAAAAAACGACAAGCGGAAGATCAGCTTGACCGGCCCCCACTTGAATAAGTTCTACAAGCTGGTGTCACGGAAGTTCAACCCGGCGCTTATCGATGCGATGGACAAGATGCGAGATGATAGTGACCCGACCACTTTCATATTTCGCATTGTCGAACGGTCCTCCGAGGACAGGCCGATGCCATTGAAGGAACTGTTGATCCAGGTGTTTGAGCAATAGGCCCGCATCATAGAACGGCGAGGCTCCACCGAACCGTGCCCCATTTCGTTCTCGAGGACCGAGATCGAAGAGAGTCGGCAGCAGGTCGAAGCCTGGGCAGCCGCGTTCGGGGAATATGATGGTCTGCGGGCGGAGCTGCTCGGTGACGAGGGCTGGGTCTCCCATGATGACTACGAGGAAGTGAGGAGCAGGTGGGAGAAGAAGAAGGCGACTCTGGAGAGCTTACGGGAACAATTAGAGAGAGACCTTGCTCTGATATCTGCCCCGGACAATCGGAGTTGATCCAGCAGAGAGATCGAGTGTAAGTGGCGTTGCATGGTAAGCCATATCAAGCTTGACCGTAAACTAGTCCGGATACCTACGTCACGCATGTACAATCATCTTTCTTTTCTTCTACGATTTATCAAGGTTTCCAGGCCAGGACCTCCCAGAAGAGTTAGACCCTATAAATCAGAGCAATGCTTCTTCGGCCTTATCTAACCCAACCTTGCAGTCTACTACTCTGTCAAAAGCAGTTTCTGACTTGAAATTCCGCAAAGGAGCAGTACCAGAATTGGATAAGCAGGTTTACAGTAACCCAGCAGTAGTAAAAAAACGAGTATACAGTTCATGTGAGCTTCCCACAACGTTCATATGAACCGAACCCCCCGCCAAACTCTACGTGACTCTTAAGTAAAAACAATAATCAATGAAACCCCGCCAATCTGACCATCTCCTACTGTGGACATCTCATCATCCTCGAAAGATCAGATATCCCTAACGGAGAACCATAAATAACCAGAATAAATAATAACAGTAAGTATTCCCGAATCAAAGACCCCAATGTATACCGATGAACCCTTCAAATCTCAATCGGAGAGATTATACAGGGAAAGAAAGTAGTGATGAGGTAGTAAGGTCTAGAATCCAATTGGAAAAGAAAAAGAAAGAAATAAAGGTAGTATAGGATAGATCCCATCTCGAGTATAAGTAATCGAAACAACTCACTCTCACTTCCGAAATGACATAATCAGACTGCGTCCGAATCAATTTTTGTACCGCACGACCGAGATAACTAACGAGGTCGGCTGAGCTGCTTCCTGTAGGTTCGTTGACTTATACCCTAAGTAAGGTAGAGTACAGCACCCGTGATCTAGTCCTTGATTATCCATTTCCAAGAGCCAATCCCAGGCCGAGCGCATATCTTTAGGCGCCCTTGCTACTAAAATCATTAGGTCACCCACTACTACTAGTAGCCTTCAGGTACACCTCCTTGATTGACATGCCAATCCGGATCACGCGATCGCGGCCTCACCATGGCCAACTGACACGGGCCAGACCTTTCCAGGCTCTCGTCTCAGTGCCAGAACCGGTTTCGCAAGTGTTACGAAGCCTACAGAAATACAAGGAACTGTACTAAAGAATACTAAAGTGGGCCCATGATATGTATTGTTTCCAATTAAGGTTGATGTATATTGTTGTAATTCCTCTCGTCCTGCTCGAGGTGGTCTATAGCGAAAATAGCGAAGAATGAAAGAACAAAAGTCAGGTCTATCAATGTAACCCAGAATGGAAAGAAGGAAAACAATCGGAAGCAAGAATGGTAGTCGGTATTTTTCATCCTCGTGGCTACAAGGACCACGAAAGCTGAGCAGCGAACCCCGCTGCTCAGGTTTGGAGATAGGAGATAGGAGATGTTCCGAGAGGAGAAGGGGGAATGTGATCAGGAGATCGGACACTGAAGTGAGAATCAGAAGGGACAGAAACAATTCACAAGATATCCCATCCATCTATTGGTAGTGACGCCTCGCAAAAGAGTACAAAGAAGTGTATAAGAGCCATGAGTCCAAAGCAATGTAAAAATAAAGAAAAAACCACCCAACCAACTGACACCGATGATGCCCATGAACCATTGTAAATGCACAAGTCTATTCGGTCGTAGCACGCATGAAGATATAATGCTTTTTTGTCGGAATCCAAGTTTACAAACCCAAATGTATCGGCACGGGGGTCGATCTAAAAGGCACGATCGGCCAGATCGCCGCCCGCAACTGAGTTGGCGGTGGACGAGGTGACCGAGGAAAACCCACTGCCAGGATTCAACATATCCTGGACTGCCACTTTCGGTACCTGAGGAACAGGTAGCTTGCGCTGTGTGCCATCGGGTTTGGACATGATATCGGTGATGCTCGGACCATGACTCTGACTGGGGCTGTAGTAACTGGGACCCTCCGGTTGTGGCTCCATGGGAGCCAGGGCGGGGGTGTGGTGAAGCGACAAATGACGAATCGAGGGAAGGTGTAGATCGCTCGATCCCAGAGGTCTCAGCCGCGGAGAGTGGGCGGGGGTAGCCAAAGGCGTGTGGTCAGGAGTAGGTGAAAGGGAGTCATGCGAGAAGGTGGGCGAGGATGGAGCGGTCGAGTTGGGCGAATTGGGCCTGGAACGCTTCACACGATGGGAATAACTATCGTCTTCTTCATGCGAGTGCGACCGGCTCATGTTATGCGTGATCGCGTAAGCCGAGAGAGAAGGCAAACGACCGCTGCCGTGGTGACGGGAGCTGCTGAACAAGTGGTGATTGCGAGGGCCGGCATGGAAGCTGAAGTGGTCGTCGCGCTCCACCTGCGAGGCAGCGGTGGCAAGGAGATTGATGTCCATGCCAGAAGATGCCCGCTCGGTATTGCGGGCGTAAGGCCCCAAGTTGGAGCGCATGTGGTTGGCATAGTTGGAGAAAGAGTGGGGAGGCGAGATGTCGGGAGAGCCAACTTGCGAAACAGGCGCAGAGCGAGTCATCGGCTTGCTGGGAGGGGGCATCAGGGCCCCTGCATTGTTGGGCATCGCATTCTCCTGGCCAGCTGCGGCCGCGGCAGCCGCAGCGAGATGCTGAGCCTTGTTGCTGCGCCTCGAGTTGGGGTTGTTGTGAATTCGCGAGTGGCGAGTAAGTTCGTCAGAGCGACTGAATCGCTTGGTGCAGCCGGGGAACTGGCACGCGTGGGGCTTCTCGCCCGTGTGGGTGCGGATATGTCTCGTTTGGTGCTCCAGGCGGTGGAAGGCACGATCACACAGCGGGCACTTGTACGGCCGAGGAAGATCTTGGCGCACTTCTTCGGTCGCAGGACGGCTACCCTTCATCAAAGGAGGGAGAAGACTGACGGATGAAGCCATAGTGGAAGTGGATTGAGCGCTGGACGGAGTAGAAGGACCCTTCGAGCTATCCACGGGGGTGGCAGGTGAGGACGAAGTAGACTCAGTCGAATTGCTCTGAGGATTCAGCAGATTGGAGAAATCCACTGAAGAGGCCGGTGGCGGCATGTGAAACTTTCTCTTAAGACGGGGAGAGAGAAGGTAGTGTAGTGAGAGGTAGGACAAAGCCGGAATATGAAAACCCGTGCGGAAGGGATGAGCAGCCGAGGCGATAGGCCGTGTGTCGCGACCAGGGGGAGGGGAGGAACAAGGAGCTTATATCGGCAAGTCGATCACCACCCGCTAGTATAAACCACCCAGGCCTAGCGTTGCCAAGAAAAGGTCGAGCAGTGGATGTCGCAAGGAATGATACAGTCCTTGTGACGCGACTGGGCTTAGAGTAGGTGCGATCTTGATAAGCGTTGGCTAACCCGACTCAAGACACTTCTGGACAATGTAATCGTGTTTTTAGACAGGAATGCGGAATGTGGTGGGCGAGGAGGAGGAGGAGGAGGAGGGTGATGATGATAGTGATGATGATAGTGTGGTGGCAGGCCGGAATCGGAAATGAGCCCCGGTGCTGAATGGCGAGCCGAGAAAGGCGAATGTTGGAATTGATGAGTCTCGAAGAGGAGGGGAAAGAGACAGAAATCTGGAGAAAGGGATCTGGGGAGGAGGTGATATAAGAAAGGAGAATCGGAAGAGTGAGAAGGAGGAATGGAGGGGAAGAAGAAAGAAACGGAGCTCGGGGGAGGGGAGGAGGGAAGGGAGAGTCGTAGAGGGGTGGGTTTATCGGAATCGGAGGACAAGAAGGGGAAGAATGGGTAAGAGTGAAAAAAAAGGGCAAAGAAAAAAAAAAGGAAAAAAAAAAAAAAAGAGTGAAAAAAATGTACATTGTGTGGGGATAAATATCGGGGGGGCAAAAAGCAGGCTCTGGAGACTAGTTGAATGAAAAGGGAAATAAGAACGTGCTTTCCGGCCAAACCTGATCGGCTGCTGTCCTTAAAGAGGATTCAACCGGTCACTCTTACCAGCCTGATGGGACACCTGTTTTTACATATACCCTCCAATGTTCCTTTTTTACAAAGTACATATCGGACGAATAGAATTTCACTACAATGGTCCTTGATTTGACCTTAATGTGTCTCAATGCCATGAATAGGCTGTGTTTCTTATTGTTGTAGTTATGGTTTATAAGCAAGCAATTGACATTCAACTCTTCAATACGTTGCCTATCTCGGGTCTCTTCCGTCGCCTGATTTTCGGACCACGCACGGTGTGTTAGAGAAGAAAAAAAATCCACTATGACCAACCGGGAAGGGAGACGCTCAGAACAGGTGAGGGTAACGAAAAGAGTAAGAAAGGAGGAGAGAGAGTAAAAAAAAGCAGAGAGAGAAAAGAAAAAGAATGTGGGGCTAAACTAGAGTCGATAGAGATTACGGAGTAGAAACTGGAACTGCAGAAGTGGCTGTGTGGCCTGGAGAAGTGCGTGCCCGGTATTATCGGGTGTTGGACCGTTGGTATGGAGTAAGTTCCAGTAGGTAAGTAAGGTAAAGTAAAGCAAAGCAAAGCGAAGCAATGCTCAGCTCAGCTCAGCTCAGCTTCGTATGGTAAATGTAGAAGGTGAACTGAACCTCCAGGCTCTCAGTCTTCCACCCCTTTTCATCTACAGTCATAAACCGGCTATCGCGGATGCCCTCTGGGAGGAAATGAACGAGTGTAATGTATGATAGATATCATTGTTGTTGGTAAAGGCCCCCCCGCCCCTTCCACCACCACCACCACCACCACCACCACCATCATCATCATCCTTTCCCCTCCCTCACAAGTCTCGCTCTCCACCATCCGGGGCAAAAGGATCTGGTGGTGATCAAAGGGAGCTCGATTACGTGATTGTGTTCCGCAAGTCGGATAATGCACACACACATGAATACCTGAGCTCTTCAGCCAACCTTTCTTTTCCCATGTGATAGCTACACACTATTGACTTGAAAAGGTGGGTGCGTCTCCTATCTCGCCCACCATGAACATGATTAGACTTCTGGGAGGGTAGGATGCTGTATTGGAACTCAACCAGCTCTCTCTGCGTGATACGGTCAGATGGTGGGGGAATGGGGGGTTGAGTAAACGTAGAATATCCCCAATCAACCCCCCCAATGCTGTCCCTCCCCCCCAAACTCGCCGCCCCCGTCCCCATCAAATCCTCCCTCCGTCCATCTTCCCCAAGGGTCTCTTCCCCAGATGATGCCATCCTGTTGTGATGAGATGAGAGTCGATGATGAAAAGATGAGGTGATTGGCGCTACGAAGGGGGATCATCCAGTATTTCTTTTCCTAGGGAGGGTTTGTTATTTATCGATTACAGTATTTCTTTTTTGGGGTTTTTGCTTTGTGCTTTGGGTTTTCTTTTGGCAAACCCTTTCCAGTTCCCTTAACTAGGAAGTCCGGGGCATACCCGGGGGAGACCAAGAAAAAAAAAACAGAAAAAAGAAAAAAGGAAGAGAAAAAGAATTGTTCGACAGATCTTCAGAACCGCCCAGTCCAGACCAGCTGATCGACCGACATTCAGGCGAGGGTTGGTTAACTGAGAATCTTAAGATAAGTCCATAGGCAAGCTGAGGAGACGGTCTGGGGTTCGAATGTAAGGTTTCCCAATGACATCTCTCCGTGACGGAAGCGGTGATCATGCCAAAAGGGCTGGGTAGGGCAGAAGCGGTACGCGGAGTCAACAAGTCATACCATGGGCGAGATCCAATACATCATCATTGTCCTCATCCTCATCGGTGAGGGCGGGGGAGGGAAGGCGCCCCAGAGGGGGGAGGTTTTTCGATGAGGCTGTTGGATTGTTGGCGACGGCAGCCACAGGGCGAATTGGAAGGGCGACGAAAAAGAGCCGGGATGACATGCCATGCGGGTAAATGGCGAACGAGCGGCCATCCGTCGGCATTTCCTTATTATTGTGGGGGGAGAAGAAAAAATAAAGCCAGCATTGCATCAGACATCAACCATGGATGGCTCATCAGCCCTTCCTTTCCTTTCCCCATGAACCAGAACAGCGGACGACGCGACACAATACAGCCCCACAAACCCAGCTGCCTCCGGATATTACTCATATTAACGGGTGTTGATTCGAGTAGAGTACGGGGAAGGCTGCATTCTCTTCTTTTTTTTTACCCTTTCCTTCTCGGCTCTCTTAGTGCTGAAGGCGCCTAGAACTAGGCAGGTAGGCAGGCAGACATGAATGATGGCTGCGACGTGGGTGATGCGCAGCGAAGGTATGCGCTAAATCATGTGGTCGGCGCACGCCCACATACAGGGTTGACAATAATCGCAATCGCAATCGCACATCACATCTATGCAAGATAGGGGCGGTCATCTTTGGAGTCGGATACACTAGTTATGATATCCTCTAATTAACCGACTGTCAAGCTTCGCAGGTGCGATTAACCCGTTTGTGACGCGCACTCCCCCCCCCCATTGTAGCCCGGAATCCAGGCCTCTCACAACCCCCTGGCCTAGCGCTTACTATTCCCACCGCATCGGAGGGGACCCTGCATTGTTTCATCGGTGCCAGGCGTCTACAGGAGATTTTCCGCTGGTGATATTGACAGGGGGGGAAAGGGTGATTACTCAGTACCTCAAGACAGAAAGACGAGGAGTAATCCTCAGGAGGGGCCGAAAGACGACTAAATGTTGATCCAACGCAAACTAGAATCAAGTCCGGAAATTGAACTCCGCAATAGATTATCCCCCAGGTCCCAGACCACTTCTAATCTCCCTAAAGCTCTGCCACCGCCGTGGACGGAGTGAATTTCCCCGGACGTGCGAACGAGGGATATTTAGTTAGGGGAGAGGGGGGGGAGCCTGAGGAGGTTCATCCGACAAGGGAAATCCCCGTGCGGGAACTCTGCTTGCTGATATGAGGAGGGGACAGAACCGGGCGTATAATGAACCCGCCACCAATCCGACTTGACTAATGATATTGTCTGATTGTCGCATGATACTCCTAAGCGACTGAAGGAATAGTAATGAGACTATGGAGGAGGGGGACCCTAAGCCCAAGCGTCATCCGGGATAAAGTAAGATACGGGTTTTCGGCAACTCCAGCCAGCCATTAGACAATCCGCGAACCACTGGTGTACGGTGCATTCTCTGCTCAATGCCCGGGTGGTGGTAAAAGCAATCACATGTCACTAGACGATGATGGATCTTATCTTCATGCTTCTCGACGCAATCGCCGGCTGATAGTTTCCGCTCTCTCACACCAGGGTGTGGTTCTTGGTATGTAAGGGTCAATGGGCCGCTGGGGTTAGTATTTGAGAGGGGAATGTGGGTACTCACGTACTTCTCTCGAGAATATACTTGTACTAGTTATGATCTATGACGAAAGGCCAGGTTGAGGGACCGAAGAGTCAAAAGCGAGTATGCTCAGGGCAAGGGCAAAAACATTAAAATTCGTAATTAGGATGAATATCCGGGAAATCGGAACACATCCATGCACCAAGCCGTCTGGGCAGTTCTGTAGATCGCAGATAGCCCCAACCCCGAGGGGTCTGGGGAGGGAGGAGGAGAAGGGGGGTGCAACCCCAATTTGGTCCACTAGAATGGATATCACAGTCACATTGCCGCAGGAGAACGTGAGACTGAAAACGCCTGTCCATTGACCTTTTGACGATAAAACAATACCAGATGCACTGGATGTGATTCATCGACCGCATAGTAAATTGTCTTAACGCCGATGTGAGCTTATCGCAGGGATCGCAGGACCGATGATACGTAGGGCAAGGGCAAGGAGGTGGTCGGTAGAGCCGACGGAGAAAAGCTCCCCGCGGTTGATATCGTGGCCGTGGCGGTTCCCCTGGGTCTGATAGGATAAACTCGGCTGTCTGGGCTGTGATCTGGAACCCACCCCCACGACCCCGCCTGACCTGAAGGTTTACCCGCCTAGAGAGGAAGGAATGGCGACCCGGAAGAATTTTGAGTGCCATTTGGGAAAGGTCAATACCTAGTCCATGAGTTATTGTTTACTAGATAATGAGATCTTTGAGATAAGGCAGGCAAAAGTACGGAGGTATTGTCCCTACGGGGACGTCTAGGATATCGAACACGGGGTCACAGGGCTATCAATTTGTAGGGCCTAGAGCAATGCTCAATGATCATCTGCTCGACCTTATCTGGCAGAATATCTTGCTTCTTTCATGCTCTGCGTCCGGAGGAGGGGAAGAGAGGAAGGGGGGGAGGAATGGATGAGGTGAGAATGAGATCAGGTGCAAAATCCCAGCTGAACGCCTTCTCATCCTTCTCATGGCTGAAATAGCTGATGCCGGGCCGACTGCCGGCGCTTTGCCGGCCAGCAGGACGGACGGCACCAAGTAGGGTAAAGCATGCACTGTGTGGGCTCAGGGCTCCAGACTCCCCCGGTGAGTCTGCGATAACCAGCAAAAAGCGAAACCCCACCCCCATTGATTACTAGGTATTCTCCAGGCTCCAGCTTTGGGTTGGTGGAACAAATGGGGGAGCAGAACTGGGGGATGGTACGCAGGTACGGCACCAAGACTACGTAAGTTGGCCCCTCAAGCTAGTCGCCGACTTGCTTAAGCTACATATTACCTAGTCAATCACACAATCAATAGTTAGTTGTTCCAATACTACCTCATATTGTCATTTATCGTCGCCATCGTGCTAATGAGTATTCCCGCATTTTGCCGAACGGTCATCGGCGGAAGAAAAATCTCTTCATCACGAATTGGCCGATAGAGTCGAATAATACGATAAGGAAAATACTCGAGCAGCAAAGGCCGTATGTTATTTTGTTACGTCCAATAACATTACATGACTAATGCTGATTTTCCTATCAACATGATGATCTTCAACCCTATGAAGTAGGCGCTCTGAGATGGCGAACGGTTAGTTTTCCCCACAGAGATCTCTAACTCCACCTAAATCTAAGCAAATATACATAATTATTCAGAAAAAAGGGGGGGAACGGAAACGAGGAAAAAAGCAAAAGCAATAAAAAAAAAAGAATGAAAGATCAGGCGTCGTTGACCCCATGATCTTTGTTGCGCCCGGCACCAGCACATCCCCAAAATGACGGAAGATCTTCCCCGCGATGATCGCGGGATATGATCTACACTCGCATTCGGTAGGTCCTCTATCCGGAAATGGCCAACCATCTGCTCTGCACTGCCTAGTAGAGTAAACTCTGCTCGAAGGACCCGATGTCGCATGAATTCGATGGAGTCAAAGAGTGGAAGCATTCTAGCGCAGAACAGTAGTCAATTAGTTGCAGATAAACCCTGGCCGGTACCATGGCTGAAAAGTACCTATGCAGAAGCACGCCTCGTTTCTGTCGCAGAGTGAAAAGGCGAGGATTGGCGCGTCGCGACTCGCTAGAATGGGTGTGATGTTGTCATGCAATCGCTACGGTAACTAGTAACGGCAACCGCCTTTGCAGGCTGGACAAGGGACGTGGGCAATGTGTTGTATTCTCATGAACCGCTCGACGATCATTACCATGCTCAGTCGGGGAGATTGTTCATGCTCCATTCTCATTCCCACGACAATGTCTGGCCATCAGCAACTCCATCTTCGATCCTATGCATGCATCCACACATTGGGAGGAACTCGAGTTCCAGTCTGGCATCCCAAGCTATCATGGACAAATTCCGCGCAAGGAGACGAGATGTGCACGATAAGTTAGTATACGTACGCTGCCAAGGCCATCTCTCCAAAGGAAACGGCGGCAAGACCCTCAATCATGCACTAATCGCATCGGCAAAAACGAGATAATCTTGAGTCATCTATAGGACGACTGTAGCACAGCTGGATGCTCACTACGGGCCAATCGACAAGCATATCGTGCATAGCGCCTGCAACCAGGGACTCCCTAACTAGCCGCGCTGTCGCTTTTCGTGTTGCCTGATGCCTCTCGGTGTGGGGTTAATTATCATTTTGTATGGTGTCAGACCATTGCGCCAACGCACATGCATGCTCTTATCGTGTTTCAGCCGGTGAAAATAATTATTCACCTCTTCAATCGGGGTCTGAAAAGTCAGGCAAGCTGCACTCAATCTAGTGGTGTCGCTTTGCCCTTTTACACATCCAGCCATAGCCTATTAAATCTGGGTATGGGAGCAAATACGACTGGGAGGTACGAAGTAGAGAATGACAATCTGCATAGACCGCAGAAAGACAATTGTGCAGAATGCATTGACTACCCCGAGGAAAAGACAGACAATTCGAGACTCTCAGGCTGCATGGTCCTCCTTGGTCTCTGCCTTGCGGTAGGTGTTTCACATGTGGAACCCCGTGCTACCTTCAAGGAGAGCTGAGACCCAACCACGGCACGCTCTCAGTCATTGTATCTCAACTAGCTCGACGGCAATATCAACATGAATGATTGATGTGAGTCTGCAGTACATTTCTCTCTCTACTCTGCAACAAATGAAGAAGACTGTCACACAAGCCATGTAAATGAGATTGTCTGATTCGCCACGACCAACACGGAAGCGCCTTATCTGGTTCAAAGCAAGCTACTCATTAGACTACTTCCGGATTTATTGCTCAAAGATGATGACGTGCCAGAGGCGAAAATTATGTTATCAACATGACCGAAACAGCCTGAATCTGTTGATCCGGGGAAGTGCGAGCGATACATCCGAGTGCCTGCCCACTGCGTGTGGTGTCCTGCCGCCGAGCCGATTACTCAGTCTTTCAACAAGGCTAACTGAGGATGGAGGTGCTGGAGTACAGTAAGTATGGTTGGATTGCAGTTCTCAAGGAGGGCAGTCGGTCACCCGAGATTGTCCCGGTGCGCTCGTTGTACTAGTGAAATGACCATTTCTCTTACGCAAGAGAATTTTGTTGGATAACATCTTGTTCACTGCTATCTTCTGGACGATCCTGTCCGAAGGCGACCCCAAGCGCTTGGCAGCAATATGCGGGGATGAAACCTGGGGAATCTCCAGAGAACTCCGTGTAGAGTTACATGTTACGGAAATATTGACCTATCAGGCCTGCCATCGAAGACACAATTCTGGGCAGTGCAGAGGAGTGAGCACCGCTCATGACCATCTACCAGTAATGCGCAACGACGGCTTATCAGTTGAATTCAACAGCAGACTCATCCGGTGCAACAAGGGGAGGTGAAGGAGAGGGTTGCCTGCGGTCAGATTCCACCCTCAGACGCGCACACCGCATGCCTGGTATGAATTTTACAGCAGCTCGGGTATGGCTGTGACCGATTGCGGACGAGCACAAACGCCACGTCCATGTGGGTGGCTAAAGACACGCACCCCCCAGGCGCCTCCGCAAGGCGCGATCCGAAGATCCACATGCTTCTGGAACGGAGCGTTTCGCCCAATCACTGTGGAGAAACGGTATCACGGTGATGTCGTCGATTCACAGGCGTCACAACCGCTGCCCCCAGGTTATGCGGGGCCGCGCTTCCGGAATCCGGACGCATTCATATTTAGTACGGAGCACAGAGTACAGTGCCTGTCTGCTGTACTGCCCGGAGGCAGGCAGTCAGGCAGGTACTGTACTGCGTGGCTGTCTCAGAATCTCCGTCAGAGGTCAGGCAGTCTGGTTAGAAATGTGTTCGAAGAGCAGTTTGATCTCATTCATTGGTCAACTCGTCGAGGCTCCTCTTATCAGGCACCAGATACCATCATCTACGCCTATTCACAGACCTCTCCTCAGCCCTTCCAATGAAGAGAGAGGGCGCAGCCTGGGGCGGGCTTTGGGCGATCTGAAAGGCACAGCGCCTCCTCACATCATTTGTTTTGCCTTTTGCCTACAATTGTATCGTGGTCACGGTGGAAACGATATCCCCGAGGTTTCCCCCCTCTGCCCACCCCCGGATACCTCACTCTCTGACTCTTCGGTCGCACCATTTGACTTCTTCTCTCAGACCTGTCTCGGGGAAATGTGGCGGTCAATAGAGGCAAGTTCCCCACAACGTGTAACTACTCCATCGCATTGCCCGGTTAGTTGGTAATAATCAGTCTTGGTCACATCTGGGGGACTCTATGGAGAGGGCGCAGGGCAAAAACGGTCGTCATCTTGAGCGATGACACGTCGCCCGAAAGGGGGCGGCGGAAGGTCCGGGTGAAGCTAGGGGGCCATTTTTAGATGTCACTTTATTCCAACAGGTATCTTGCAACAACCTGACTGGATCTAGGTACGTTGGTGCAGTACTACATGGTGTGTAGGTCAAAGTCGGTGCCTGATGAGTTACCCCGTATCTAAATTTATATAAGTCAAAGTCGGTAACATGAGGTGTGGACCCTTAGCTCTCTTGATGACTTACTACTGGTACGTATAGTTCAGGAGGATCGACTCGGCGAGGGTGGAGGACGTGGTCTTGTGCAATTCCTCATTCCAGCCAGACTAAGGGTTTTAGTACCTCCGTAGTGTGCTGTCTACCTGCCTTAGTGAGGTACTAGTGCACTGTGAGCGAAGCTTGAAGCAGGAGAATCAGAGATAAGGCCCTTGTCGTGCCATTTCTTCAGTCCAGCATACACGTTCAGGCTTCTTGTTTTTCTTGATCTGAGAAGATCATGCTATTGTTTATGCATCTCAAACACACCCAAATTCCCCCCTAAAACAAACTTCCGCAGGAGAGTCTACTCGTGTTCTGTAGATATGTGCACATGCTACGGAATTATCCAGACAGTCATCTCGTCAGTTGAGCTTGCGCGTGCCCCTCTTTCATTTCGCAAAAGCTCCTCTTATCCGCCCCGTTTCGTCCTACTTTTTACCCCTTTCCCCTCCATCCCCCCTCCCCCCTCCCCCTCCCTCCGCACCTAGTCATAGCTCCTTTGGAGCTATGAGGTTTTTCTGTTGCAATTTGTCTCTCCGGAATCCCGGTCTAGTCTAGTCTAGTCTGCAAAGGTAAGTGATGACCGCTCTAGATCCCCAACTTTCTAGGGTTATGTCACGTCACTATGTACATAAGAACACTCTACGCGGTGCGTATCGGGGATAATTGAGAATCGGACCATAAAAAAACATCCCACTCGGCCCCCCAGCCCCCGCTCTCCCCCTGTTTGAGAATTGAACATACGCAGTATATTGTCTTATACACTTTGTACAGTGCCACTCTACGATACAGGAAAATAGTGCAGTACCTGAACAGGGGAAGGGCAGGAAGGGGGGGGCGGAGAAGGGTGTGGGCGTTGTTGATCCGTGTACGCCGTCGTACTCGGAGTGTATAGTACAGTACAACAACCCCTTCAAGCTGAGCTGCAGGTGTAATCCGATCATCAACACCACCACCACCACCGCAGCAGCAGCAGCAGCAGCACCGCCGCCGCCCCTCCCGGCGCTTGTCCTCTTCCAGACCACCCCAGTGGAAGTGATTTCTTAAGAAAGCTGTAACCATTGAAAGGCAGCTAGTAGTAAGTCACCACAGGAAAAGTTATACAACAAGGAATCAAGTGGGCTGTCATGCAGCCCAACCAAGAACACCTTGTCTTTGTACATAGTAAATGAGATAATTCAGGTACAGTTCACTACCAAGAAAACACCACTCAAAAAAAAGCATTCCCAAGGGGGAAATTTACCCCATATGACTACCACGAAGATTCACCGAACCTTTTCCCCCAATCGAGGGTTGTTCCCAAGGTCCTCTCCCCCTTCCCATGCCCCAGTTTGTTGCCCTCCACATACCGGTAATTAACATACAATACATGCTTAACTGTAAGGGCTGGGGCTGACTTGGGGGGGATTTGGGGGGCTGGGCGGTATATTCTCTCGCCCGATACGATACCCAGTCAAAAAAAAAAGAAAAGAAAAGATTAAAGAAAAGGGACCAACGCCGAGCCGACCGAGAATGGAAGAGAGAGGCAGGGGGGGGGAAAGATAGGTGGGCGAGCCACACCCACACAAGCGGAAGATGGCCGGGCCTACGTCATGGAATCAGAAGAATGATTTGCAGCTAAACTAAACCCGGTCAGTAGCTTCAGGCTTTTTCTGTCCCACTACTTTTTTTTTTAGTGCGCGGCCCTTCTAGATGACAATCTCCCGTGTCTGGAGGCATTGTGACTCGTTGGTCGGTAGATAGTTCTCTCGTTCAAGGTTTTGCCCAAGAGTCCACGTAGACTACACTCCTACTGTGGAGGACGCGTTCCTGGTTTGAGAGTTTCGTACAGTACGTGAATTGTCTGACTGACCTGCGGAGATACAGTAGTTAGTGGTACACAACTCTACAGAGTAGGGACTTGTACTGTAGGACTTGTACTGTACTTTGCTGTCGTATTCTCAACAGCTTGTTGTTGCGCACTTCTAAGCTCAGCTCGCCACGTCAATGGTTGGTAAGCTTGCTGCTGATTTTGCTTTGCCTGCCCGGTAGTTACATGCTGTTGTCGACTTCATCATTGGATCATCACTGTCAATCATCATTATTATGGTCACATCTACGGCTGCAATAATGTGGGAGAGAATGGATGAATGTGGGAGGGAAATGTGGGTTCCAATGTGTACCGTAAGTGAGACTTTCAGGTGTGTGTGTGTGTGTGTGTTTCTCCTCCACCATCTGATTAGTTTGGACTGTACGTAGTACCGGGCCGAGGCCGGGGTACTGTCTTCCACATGCTCTGATTTGACAGGAAACAATAATTAGCATGAGGAAAAGAAGAAAAAAAAATATTATTAATGAATTTAGAGCCCGGCGGATCAAAACCTAAGATCTGGTGTCATCGTCCTCCAAGTCCCGAATCTATCCACTGGACACGATCCAGGGTGGACAACTTCTACGAGAAGCCTCCCCTTTCGGGATGAGAGGGGAACAAGCCATAGAAAGACTTTTTTTCCAGACTTAAGACGGGAGACGAAAATCTCTGCAACCACAAAGTTGAGACGGTGTGAGTACTAAGAAGAGAGACTGGGGGGTGTTGTGGTGTAAGAGAGTGTGTGAAGTATCGGGTGATTTCGGGAGAACTGCGGTCCTTTTTCCTCTTTCCTGGGGGAGGGCTTGCGAGTCCAAACAGGGCGGGCAACTATTGCGGAGAAAAGAGAGAAAGAAATTTTCTTACCTAACCCGACTTTTCCCTTTCCCCCTCCTCTTTCTCACTCTCCAGTCCCTTAGGAATGAGTTGAGGCCGGCACAGCATGCGGGCTCGCGTCCTCAAAGGGGTTTTCCGGTGAAGCAGCCATCGTCGTTAGGGCCTGTTCTGGCCTTGGTTGGGCAGTTTCTCTCCCCGGGACTTTCCCCCCCTCCCCCTCTCCCGGTCTCCCTTCTCCCTTCTCCCTTCTCCCTTCTCCCTCTCTTCTTGTTCTGTTCAGTCGGCCATGGTTTGACTTTTTCCCCCACCCCCTCTCCCCGCCGCCTTCTCTAGGCTAGGCTAGGCTCTCGGTCTGAGGCAATTTTTTTTTCTCGCTGTGCCATCGGGATGTCCGACCCGAGTTTCTCTCGCTGTCTCTCTCTCTTGCTCTGCCGAATCTATCCCGAATCCCGTGGTGGTCTGAGCCGTTCTCACTGGGCGGTTGGCCTCCAGGTTGCTCTTTGTCCGGCAGAAGGTATCCCGGTGGGTTGAACCTTGCTGCCTTTGCCGTGCGCTGTGCCCAGGCGAGGCGTGCAGTGGCTTGACTGGCTTACTCTTCCGGGAAATTATGTAACTATTCTTATCATGTCGCGATGTGTTGGTGTTGGCGGCCCGTTCAGGGTCAAAGGAAATGAGGTGAACCCCCCTCCTCCTCGGCAATTTCCTCCATCTCGGCCAATTCTTCTCTGCGACTGCTCGTCTACCAATATAGAAGCTACATTGGGTAGACTTTTTTGACACTGAGGAACTCGCTAAGTCACGTTGTGGTCGACCAATTCCAAAACCCGGGGATCATTGAGGGGCATACAGTAGTTAGAACAGGGAAAAGGGAAAAATTCTGTCTCTCCCTACAACCCAGTAATCATTTCACGTTTGCTACTTATCGTTTGCCATGCACCAACTTGTTTTTTTTTTTTTCTGATTTTGCGTTGTCATCTAACATGTAGCGGTGAGTATGTATAGAAAAAAAGGTTCTCGCCTACTTGCTTGCCGATGATTCATCTCCCAGGCACAAACAACACATCCTCCCCGCCTCATTTTATTGCCTTTGCCTTTCCCCTTCTTGGGTCTACAGGCGAGTTTACTTTCCGTGACATGTGTAGTGACTGAGCCCGACCTTCAAGCTCGGCTTGCACATTAGCGATTTTACCATGTAGGGAATCGTGTATGGCCGGTGGCTATTCATTGCTATATCCGACCTCTATAATCGAGTACACCCCTATCAGAAATGTACTCCGTATGTTGTCCTTGCTCACACCCCGGACCAGTCAATTGAGCCCACAATTGGTGGAAATACACATTTCCCCCCTCCATACCACCAATCAAAGACAGTAATCTCACATAGATTAAGACAAAACACCCCCCCTGGCTCCCCCGGTTGACAGCTGAGATAAGCCTTTTTGGTTTTGTGACGTCCCACGTGACCGGGGTTGCACCACCCCCGGGGTGGTAAAGATTACTCCATGCGGAGTGAGAAAGAAGAATTTCGACGGGTGATTTTTGTTCCGCCGGATCCCCTAGGCGAGGCCGCGAGTTGGCGAGGGCGAGGGGTGGAGGGGGATTTTTCCGTGTGGGGGATTTGTCATAACTATGGAGATAAGTTGCCGAAGCCCCCCGGTTCACATGATCATTATGTGGAGGAGGGGGAGCCCCGGAAGACGGGAAGGGGGGGGGGATTGTTTTCTTGGTTTCCCACATAATACGACTTGTGAGGCCTTTATTACGAGATTGTGGATTTTTGCTTATCAGGAGTAACTATAGTCAGGTGTTGCGCTTGCCGCTTGGGGGGTGGCGAAGGAGTATTAGAGTGTTTACCGTACATGGAGCAGGGAGTAGGGATTGGTAGATTTCGCTCTGTGTGTGCGGTTTCCCCCGCATTGGATGATCGAAAGGTCCCCTTGAACGGGACGTAAAGTAGTTTTCGTCCGGGCTTTTCACTGGCCTCTTAGCACTTGCTCTAGTTGGGTGGTATGGGCTTTGAGCTAGCATCTCTTACTATGTACTATGGGTCTGGGGATTGTGGGTAGCGTTGGAGGGGTTCGCGGTACGGGTTGATGAGGGCCGAGAGGTTGAAGGCGGTGTGTGGTGGTGGTATGGATTGTTGTTGGTGGGCGCGATAGAGTAGACTGTTTATGCAGTACTGATTCTATTGATTGGGTTGGTCTGTAGGTATTGTTTCGGTCTATACTTTTATAGATTGACTGATGGTGAGTGTGTCGTTCCTGATTCTGAGCGCACGGTTTCGATGATCCGGGGACCGGAATATATACTCGGAGGTTGAGCCGACATGTATACACCTGACCAATACACTAGACAAACAACATGCAGGAACAATGTTACCTCTTGTCTAGCCGTAGACATTGCCTGTGAGCTCCCGATCCATGTAGTGCTCGTGTTGCACCATGCGCCTGAAGAATTTGTTATGTAACATGGCTCTTACTGTGGTAGTCATGTGGTTGGCTTCAGTAGCTGCTGTCTTGTTAATCGAGGTTTGATCTGGCCTCCAGACAACTATAGGATGCTCCGAGTGTCCGTACTTGGGTTTGCGCAGTGCAAAGCTAGCTGGACCTGTCTCATTCCAGTAACCGGGGCTCAGCGCCGCTATCGGCCAACAGCTATATTAGTCTGCAGCTGGCACTGCAACAGAATCCTCAGAGACTTTGACCCTTGAACGGTTACTCTCATGACAACCTTACAGAGTCCGGTGCCCTGAAAGACTTGGCTGCCAAATAGACATAGAGGACGTTGCGCTGCACATTCCAAACTGATCTCCTCACGTCAGGATATTCGGCAATATTACCCAATGCGGCCGCGATGATGTCGCGCTCCAAGTATTCTGCCGCGTCTGGCCGCCCTTTCGCCGGCCGAAGCAAAAGTTCAATCAGACAAGTTCTTGGACAATGCAGCCTCTCTACTGTCCCCAGCTCATTCAAATCAACGCTAGTGTTCGAATGATAGATCGTCCTCCGCTTGCTCTCAGGGATACCACGTATCTCAATCTCTGATCACTCGCGTCAGTCATCGCGCAAATTTCTGTCCTCGTGCCCCATGGCTCCCCCGCGTCAACGGACGGCGGCCGTCCAGGACGACTCTCGATCGGAGGGCTCCAGTACTACCAGAGAACACAAGACTACGAGTGTCAAGTCCCGGAAAGGTGCGAACGGGTCTCTGGTAACATCTGTCACCAGCCGAGAAGTCAAAGTCTCAGGAAACCTCGCCAATGTGACCAGTGCCCCCGCTGGGGGAAACGCTGCAGATGTGCCAAAGGTAGGCCTGCGAATTCCCCCTCGCCAGTCGCCGATAACCAGAAACAAAATCCCTACTTTGATCTTCTTTCCCAGAGGCTAGAGTGACTGACATTGTGTTCTTTGGTGCAGATTCCCTGGAACGAGATGCCCCTTAGCCTCCTCCACTCGTACCGACACGCCTACAAACTTTCATCCCCCAGTGCCTTTCCCAGCGAATACTCTCACCTGCTCCTCTCCAGAGGCATCGGCCTGCGATCCCCGACATCAATCGCCGCCCAGCGCGCTCATCTACATCGCCAAAATGAAACGACGAACGGCACCTCCCAACCGTCGAGCGGCACGGCCAACGCCTCCACCAGCGCTACGACTGCTGCGAGAAAAGCCCTGCACGGTAATCCTCCGTCGGCCACCAATGGTATCAGTGCCAAACAGAAAGATCGTCAAAATCAGAAGAAAGGACCGAATGAAATTGACGGGAAGAGCGCTTTGCATCACATCATCGGCCAAGACCGAGTAAGCAAGAACCAACTCGCCTTGTCGGTCCGCAAACACTTCAATAGTGCTGGTCTTGCAGAGCAGGAGGCCATTGCTCGGTTTCTGTACAAAGTTCGGGAAGAGGGCAGAGGGCGACATTTTCGACTGAGGTTTCAACCTTAGATCGGCATGACGGCTTTCGCGCCATACTCTTCCCTTTCATTCTGCAAATAGTGCGCTGCGATTCGAAACGCCCGGTTATGCCTGCGGCATACAACCTACTACTCGTCTGGGTGCTTTCGCCTCGCCATGATCTTGTTTATATTTGATGTCTCAGGGTCGACTTTCAGGATATCCTGAGGTGACCGGGTTGGTAGTCTCGCCATACTTGGGCCATCAGGTCACCCTCCCCTCCGCTCCTCCCGCCCGAGATGCACACATTCTTCTCTTCTTCTTGTCGGAAACGGACAGACACTGGCTCGGTTTCCTGTTGTTCTCTCGTGATACCCATCAGTGCGACATGTTTCATTGTGTTCTTCGTTTATCCTCTCTTCTCCTATCCTCTACTCCTAATCTCTCCACACCCACCTCGGTCTTCTCGCATGCGTATTTGCTGTCTACCTTTAAGCACGGTGACCTGGTATTCTTTGATGAACACCGGGACAAGACTCGAACAGACTTCATTTCACTGCTGCCATGCTCCGCCCCCGCAGGTACATTGCTATGGCTGGCTCACCATGCTCTCCGAGGGTGTGGAATACTCCTATCCCATTTTTTTTCGCAGGCGCTTTGATAGACCGGTTCGGTTGCTCCTTTGCTTTATCCTCCCTTTCGGCTTTGCTCCTATGCTTCCAAATCCGCCTCTGCTGTATGTATAATAAATCTTAATAAAGCTCGGAGACCTCCCATCTTTTACATGTATGAGTAAACACAGACATTGTCGATATATTTTCAGGTTACCACCCCGTCCAATAAAAATAACAGGGGTCTTGATACGCTTTCGGGCTGTTACTTACAGGTCACAGGGTATCGTGTATATCAACATTTATACCCACCGGCACATCAAACAGCTGATCTCCCTCCCCCCTCCCCCACCACCCACCACCAACCCCCCAAAGAAACCAACCAACCAAATTACAACTCAATGAAAGCACCTTGAAGCAATAGTAGCAGCAAGAGGAGCTCAAATTGCCTATCAGTGGTAACAAACTCCTAACTAGTCTAGTTCTCAAGAAAAGAACACCCAAATAAGGCAAGCCCTCACAAGCGAACGCCCAATCATCCACGCCTTCCTGTCATTCCCGGAAATCACCAAATCAACAAGAACCAGAGATGTCCCAGAAACTTTCCCAGAAAAAAAGCAAAGAGATTAAAACCATGTCTCAACGTGATGGGTTTTCCCCCTCCCCCCAGACAAAAGCCAAGATCATCACCAGAAGGACAAGAATTTCTCCCATGCTGCTGTGAGTGGGTGCAAACGAAATTCCATCAAATATCAAAACGGTAACACAGAACGAGTGGATAACAATCAAGTTTGGATTTGCGTACATCCCCCTGGCCGAGCCCGATCACTTCTTGCGGTTGTATGCCCTGCTCAGTGGGGTTCATGTTAGTATTCATCGGGGTGGTTTGGGGTGATGTGCAGGACCGTGTCGATGGTCGATATAAGGGGGGGGGGAGACGTACTCATGAACTAGCACCCACCTCGAAGGTCGATAGGAAGGTAGGGCACTCAACAGCGGAAAGATTGGGCAGGCAGTGTGTCCGGATGCTGAGCTAAGGCGACTTGCCAGGGCCCAGACACACCCCGGAGTAGCAGATGTCGGTGTGACAGCAATCCTTGGTGCGGCGGCAGCGACGGTGGCATTTGCGGTCCTGGGTGGACATTTCGCCGTCTGCGGCGGGGGGCGCGATGCGGGTTGTGAGAAGGGTGGTGGTGTTGGTGGTGTCTTCTTCCCAGATCGAGGTGGTGTCGAAGGTATCGGCATCAGCATCACTCACAAGGTCCATGTCCTCGTCCTCATCGCTGTCGAGTGTGTATGCCGCGATGGAGGTGACACCAATATCCTCATCGAAATCGGTATCGATATCAGCGTCAGGAGAGGAGGCATCGATGTCGGTGTCAGGGGCGGAGGCAGCTGGCTCAGTCACGACATTGTCTGGACCGTGGTGAAGGAGTCAGATTCGCTTGATGGAGAATACGGTGCTTGTTAGTGGGGGGCACTGTACTGACCACGGGTGTAGAGGCTGATATACCCGTCCAGGGCTTTCTTGATGGACGCGTGCTCAGTGCAACCGTGCATGCACTTCACATAGGCGAGGACGGATTCGCGGGAGACCTCGTCGTTGTTGCTGTCGGTGCCGGCGGCGAGGGCGCAGTCGCAGCCTGCCTTGATGGCGGTCGAGGTCACCAGGGTGACTAGGAGGGTGAGCAGCCAGAGAGGGTGGAGCTTCATCTTGTCACGGACGGATGAAAGTGTATTGGGGTAGTGTGAAGGTGCTGTTGGATGCTGGGATTGAGGCTTTGTGGATGGATGGGGTTGGTTGAGAAGTGGAGGATGAGAAGAAGGCGGAGGATGGGAGATGGAAGGATGAAAAAGAGATTCGAGGACGAGAGGAGGGGGATTTTATAGCCCAGCAACCCAGTCAGAAGTGACTAGGTGAATGATTTACCTTGAAAATTCAGGCCCAGTGAATGAGTGCGAAAGAACCATCCCCCAGTGATACCTGGTACTGGGTGGGTGGCTAGGTATTAAGCTTGCATTCACCGAAGCAAAACCACAAGTGACAGTAGAAGTAATGTAGAACAGGCAGTAGCCTCTATTATCCAAGTTATACAGGCATAGTCTTCGTATATACATACATGCAAGGACTGATCACAGACCGTTTAAAGTCTGGCACCAACACCAGAAAAAGTGCTGCCACACCAACTCTAAGCCCGCTCATCTGCAGAACTTCGACACACGTCTAATACCAGTCGAATGGACCAATGCCCATCTTGTTTTCTCGGAGCGGAGTGGTGTTGTTCGGGGGGGTTTTGAGCATCGCCGCTTGTTCCCCATGAGTCTGCGTCTCGATGCGGAGCTCAGCTCAGGCCAAGGGACGACGACATCCGCCCTGGTTGTAGACTCTGCCCACAACCTAATGTCAATTGCTAAATTCAGAAGAAACGGTTCGTCAAATAGATAGGAAGCCGACTCCAAGCCCATGCTGTCCCTAATGAAACGCCCTGTACGTGACCCAATACAGTGTAGAACATTATCCTGAAGTGCTTGCCACATTACGGCACCAGCAGTAGTCAGGTGGTTCACTCATCCTCCTCGATTGCCGCCTGGGACTTCTTCTTCGGCTTTGCCGCAAGCTCCTTCTGCCAAATATGGTTGGCAGCGGTCTTGTCAAGATCGGCGAACAAGATGTCGAAGACTTCTGAGTACCATCCAACTGCATGGCCTTCAATACCCTTCTTGATATTCTGCAAGAGGGTTAGCGTAACTGCTAAGTCAGAACAATGCGAGTCAACTTACCTCGGGCAGTTCCAACCAGTCGGACATGTTGTCCGCAGGGAAGATGATCTTCTTAGCTCCCGCACGGCGAGCGGCCACCGTCTTCTCCCGTAGTCCTCCGATGCGCAAGACCTTACCGGTCACCGTGAGTTCACCGGTCATGGCGATGGTCGGGTCCAGAGGGTGGTTCAAAGCCAGGGACAGCAAAGACGTCGCCATTGTGATACCGGCAGACGGTCCGTCCTTGGGCACTGCACCCTCAGGACAGTGCATGTGCAACTTGGCCTTCTCGAAGAATCGATTCTCAGGGAACTGCTTCGCCATCACAGACTTGGCGAACGAGTACGCGATGTGGCTAGACTCTTTCATGACGTTTTGTAGGTTACCGGTAATGTCGATACCAGGTCGGGATTCGGGCGACAGAGCGTTTTCAAGAATGGATTCGACATAGAGAGCGGCACCGCCCATGCTGGTCCAGGCAAGACCCATGGTGACACCAGCTGGGAAAGTCTCATACAGACGGTCGGCCCTGAAGACGGGAGGGCCAACGTAGTCAGTCAAACTGTCCTTGTCAATGCTGACACTAACATGCTCAGGAACCTTCAACGCGACTCGGGGTGTTTCCGTGGTCGGCTTTTCCGAATCAAGAGAAGCGTTTGCGGAATCGGTCGACTCGGCTTCCTGCTGCGCCTCCGCTTGCACAGCCTTACCCTCGTCTGTGATTGCTTTTTCTTCGGCGAGAACATCCTCTCCAAGATCACGGACGATGTTGAAGGCGGCCTTACGGTACACCTTCTCAATCTGCTTCTTCAAGTTACGTACACCACTTTCACGGCAATATGACTTGATAAGCTCCTCAACCGCATCCTCGGTCAAGGTAACGTCAACCTCCTTCAGACCCGTCAATTCTTTCGCGGCGGGTGCAAGGTACCGTTGGGCGATAGCCATTTTCTCATCCGCAACGTAGCCGGAGAGCTCAATCAACTCCATGCGATCCAGGAGGGGTCGGGGAATGGTGTCGGTGATGTTTGCGGTACAGACGAAAAGAACCTTAGACAAATCCACCGGGACATCCATGTAGTGATCCAGGAATGACGAGTTCTGCTCGGGATCGAGGAGTTCGAGCAGAGCAGAAGAGGGGTCACCTTGGTGACCATGGCCGATCTTGTCGATCTCATCGATCAGGATCAGAGGGTTTTCGGTCTGGCATTTCTTGAGGGCCTGAATAATCCGGCCAGGAAGTGCGCCAACGTAAGTCCTACGGTGTCCCTTGACCTCAGCAACATCTGTCAAGCCGCCAACAGAGAAACGGTAGTACTGCCTGTTCAAGGCACGTGCAATGGACTTTCCAATGCTGGTCTTACCCACACCTGGTGGTCCCACAAGACAGAGGATCTTGCCCTCGACAGTTCCGCGGAGCTTTCCAACGGCAATGAACTCAAGGATGCGGTCTTTGACGTCCTTGAGTCCGTGGTGATCTTCATCAAGGACGGTCATCGCATTCTTAATACTGAAATTCTCCACGCTCTTCTGACCCCATGGGATCTGAGTCAACCAATCCAGATAGTTCCGGGTCACATTGAACTCGGATGCAGCCGGTTCCAGGTGAGCTAGCTTGTTGAGTTCCTCGTCAAACACCTTCTTGATGGCCTCCGGCATTGCGAGCTTCTCCGCCTTATCCTTGAACTTCTCAACCAGCTTGTCTTTACCATCGGATTCGATACCCAACTCCCGCTTAATACCCTTCATCTGCTCCATGAGCCAGTACTCACGCTGTCGCTTCTGAATCTTGGCCTCAACATCCTTAGAGATCTTCGACTGGAGTTGAGCGTTCATGAGCTCCTTCTTCAAGACAACGAGAGCCTTGGGAAGTCTTTCTTCGATGTTCATTAGCTCCAGGACCTCCTGCATTTCATTGAGTTCACCGGCAGAGACGGCGGCAGCGAAGTCGGCTAACTTGGCGGGATCGTCGCTGAGGTTTCCGGGGAATTGGTCGGTGTAGAAGGCAGAGATTTGATCACGGAACAGAGGGTTCAGGCTAGCGATTTCCTTACAGACGTTGACGATTTCGCTGGTCACAGCGCGAATGATGGCGCTTTTCTTGTCGTAGGCCTGCTCGGCCATATTCTCGACATTGACAAGGCTGACAAGGTACTTTCGCAAGAAGGAGGTTGGCTCGTAGTGATCCTTGGGGGCGACTTCCGCACTTCCCTCTTCGAAGCTAGCCACGACATCTCCACGCTTTTCCTGAACCTTTTCCTCCGCTGTGCCTGACTTCGCTGGATCGTTGGGCGGAATGAGGGAGGAGATCTTGATACGACGGTGGGGGTAGAGGACGGCTGTCACACCGCCCGTGTCGCCACGGAGAGGATAGGCCGCGGTAATCTGTGCGAAGACACCGACGTCATAGACATCTTCGAGATTTTCGATTATGTCCCCATCCGCATTCTCATCCTTGAACAGGAAGGCGCCCACGTAAGGTTGACCACGCTTCATCATCTCTTGGATGGCGCTAGCAACGTTGGGGTCCTTGATGGTGATAGCTTTGTAGAAACCCGGGTAGAGTGGTCGCTTCGCGATGGGAATAGCCATGACCTGAGGATAGATGTCTGGGACCACTGGCTTTTGTAAGGCCTTCTCACTACTACCCTTCTTGCCCTTCTTGCCGCCGTCCTCATTGTCGCCGTTACTGGCGCCGCTAGGCTTGGAGTCCGAGGAGCCACCGCTGACAGGTATGGGGGTGGGTTCATCGGAAGAGCTTCCTTTGCCGTCTGCGGATTTGCCGCTCTTTTTCGGCTCCTCTTCCAAGCCGCGTTGCTCCTTGTCCACCGCCGCCTTCTCTTTCCGCCGCCACGACCCCGATGTCGGAGCTCCGGGTTCTAGTGACGATCCCTGCCTGCTGGAGGGATCGGTCGCCTTTCGTCGAGCATCTGAGCGCCGTACAGAGTCCTTATCCTCCTTGGTATCCTTCTGCTCTTTTTGCGTTGTGTCCTCCTTGTCGTCATTTTGTGGGGGCTTCTCTTTCAGACGGATTGAGCTCGAGGAGAAAGGTCGAGTAGAGGATGGAAGGGTACGGCCGATTCGGGTGGCACTCAAAATTGAACGAGCACTGGCATTGTGTCTGGGAGAAGAGAGCAGAGGGCGGAGGATTATAGGACGCGGCGTTTGGTGGAGCGCGGCTCTCCAGGGGAGTGTCTGGCCGCGGAGCATGCTACTGTGTCGACGCGGACGACGCGGACGGAATAAGGCGGGAAAGGAAAGGCGAAAGATGTGGGATCAAGTACGGTAGCCTGAAGGCCAACCGGAAGAGCGAGTGATACAGATAGAGCTGGAGCTAGGAGAGGGGGGAGGAAAGAAAAGAGAAAACCAAGCAAGGTGGTGAAGGTAGCTAGATGTACTGAGTAGGTATGTAGATTGAGGGGGGCGATCGAAGGTCTGTTCGGTCGAGTGATTGATTACCGAAGCAAGCGCAAGCTTTCATCATCGCTGCTGTTCGGAACCTTGTTGTTCCGATCGGGAAACTTTTTCGAGCCGGAACGACTCGAAGCTTCCAAACGTCTTCCCCATCAGGAGGCGGTCGATGCTTCAAGAAAGGTCCCCGGTGGTTCTTCTTCTTCTTCCTCTCAAACCAGCTTCCGCCAATTCAAATTTCTCCTTCTCCTACACTCCATTTCCCGTTGTTGCGTTTTGTTTGATGCTTAGCTGTCTTCCACAATGAGTGCTACATCTGCCGCTATACCCAAAGCCGCGGCTCTCCCCGCTCGTTTACTGCGGACCTCGCGGCAATACTCCAAGCAGAGTCCCTCCACCACCATCCGGTCCTCAACCCCGGCCCGGACCTATCATGCCTCTACCGCTTCTTCAAGCAACAAGCGCTTGCGCGATGGTGCCTGCAGCAAGAAGCAACCTGCAGTTCCTTCAACAACTAGGGTAAGTTATCCAGGCATTAACCG